ACTGCCATTCACCTTCACCTGATATGCAAATGTGTCATCCTTTAGTGTGACTCAAAGAAGGTGAAAGGTATTGAAACAAAGCATCTCCTCCCCTCCCCTCCTCTTCCCCGGGGCCAGACACCGCCCCGCCCCGCCTACTGCCCACCGCTCTACCAATGCGGCCTGAGGCACCGTGTTGAATGCTCACGCGGCCCCCTTCACTCCCTTACCCGAACACAGCCTGTCCGCCACTCAAAAAGGCTCCGCCTATCAGGGCTGGACCGAGCTCGCCGCCCCGCCCACCGCCCTACCAATGCGGCCTGAGGCACTTCCGTGTTGAATGCCCACGCGGCCCCCTTCACTCCCTTACCCGAACGCAGCCTGCCCGCCACTCAAAACGGCTCCGCCTATCAGGGCTGGACTGCGCACGCTGTGAGCCAGCCCAGGAAGGTCACACGTAAAGTTGGCGCAAACCGACTGGCGCGGGACTGTGACGTCATCCCTTCGCCGACGGCATCGGCTAAGGCCCGCCTGTACGATATAAACACCCGGACGCAACATGGTGGCGCGCACTGGGCCGCGTGACCTGGGTGTCCCCGAGTGCGGGTAAGGGACAAGCTCTTTCTCGTCCGGAGTCACGCTGTCTTCCGACACTTAGGGATAAGTTTCAGTCCCTGTGCGTCTTGTAGCGACACCTGCGGGCCCGCCCTCATCTGAGAGTCCAGTGACCCTGAGCGACGGCTCAGGCGCGGCGCTCCGGAAGTGCTTGGGCTCGTCACGTGTGCCTCCAGGAAGTGGCTTCCCCTCTTGCCCCACCTTCGGAGCGGTGCTGCGCTCACTAAAAGGCGGGGACCGGTGTGGGTTCGATTCCGCTCAGCTCCTCCAGCGCTGCTAGGCACCTTTGCACCTAAGCATTAGTGCAAAGTCCGGACGAACGCTTTGCGCCGCGTTCGCGTCCTTAGTCCGCTGGCGCCGTGTGACCTTGGGCAGGTTGCATAATCTTACCTTCCCAGGTGGCTCAAATGCAAAATGGGATGGTAAAACCCAAATTGGCGCCAAGCCGTAAGGCTCGTGCCACAGAGCAGGCTGTCAACAAACACCATCTGTTTCCGCTCATGGCACTGTTGACTCTGGATAGAATTGAGAAGTAGCTTTAAATGGTGGCTAGGATGTTCGCTGACATCGCCACCCAGATTCAGAGGACTGTGACAACTGTTTGCCTTAACAGCGTCTTCCCTGCCTCATCAGAACCAAGCCTAGAGGAGCCTCCGATTTCTTGATGGAAGGTTCTCCGGGCTCCGTTGTTGAAGGATAGATGTGCTCTGCTCTCACTGAAGGAAGCCCAGTGCAAGAGTGTCTCTGCCTTAAGAGGAGGGAGCTTCCCAAATGGCCTTTACCCCGGGCTGCTGCTTTGTTCCCTGTTTGGGCGGCCAGCGGCCTGGGCTCTGGCACACAACACTTGTCAGAAGCGAGAACCCAGGATGCAGTGATTAAGGAAGATACTTTGTGTCTACTTCTCATAAGCAGCCTATTGAAACAGCTGATGCTGTAGACACCTTAATGCCTGAGCATAGCGCAACTACATTACTCTGCATTCTTCACTACTGTTGAATTTAGCGAGGGGAAGGCCAAATGCACATGAGCTTGTACACTGCCCTCTAACTGCGTTCGAGTGTGGTGTGGTCTTCCCACGTGAGCAGCGTCCAGGACGCTTACTAGGAAGAATCCCAGGCCTCAGATATCCTGAAGCTGACTGCTGTGTGCACTAAAATCTGTGAAGTCCTCCACTAACTTGTGGGGTAATCTGGTGATTAGAACTATGTGGTGACATGAAAAGTTTAAGGAGAGACAAGCGGCACAGAGCCAGAATCCGGGAAGGGGGTGGCAAAGCAGTGCTTTTCTGCGTTTGGGCACCACCAGCAGGTTGATGCGGAAGACAGATGAAAAATTCGTCACTGGGCAGCTTGGATGAACGCGACTACGGTACCCACTTCTTAAAGCACAGATGAGATCACCTGTTTGACTGCAAATGCTCGTGAGTGAGAGCCCACCAAATGTAAGTCTCATGCGAAAAAGGTTCCAAAAATTCCATAATTTAATGCTTTTGAACCAATTTAAACTGTCTCTTAAGTCTCTCTTTTCTCCAATGCAACTAATTAAAGAGTTCAGCTCTCTAAGGTAGGGAAGAAATTTACATCTGTCTCCGTAATCTCAGCGCCAAATGGAACACGTGGTACGTAGCAGATGATCCGTAAGTATTATGTTTTCCATGTTAGATTTGAGTAAATCACTCATGATGTATGTAGTAATTTAATTGCTCTCTAAGAACTTTTTTTCAGTAATTGGCTTGTTTTTCGTTATTTTCCTTAGTAATTTAGTTTTGAGCTGGTTTATTTACCATTAAACATTTGTTAAGCATCCATTGTGTAATAAACACTGCTGGTACCGGGCAAAGAAAGTTGACGAGAATTCAGTTCCTCATCAGGGATGTAGAGTCTAGTGAGAGAGAGCCATGATCATGTGCTAGTACTAAGCCACACACGCAGGTGCTCCAGGTGTAAGCGCTAGAGAAGCCATTAGTTCTGTAAGGTACCTGCTGGAGTTCCTGGCCCAAGAATAAAGTGCGCGCACCTGCCTGCTCCTTTCCCCGTCCCAGCTCGCGTCCACAGGAGTTTATCGTGTAGTCAATGAAGAGGGAGAGAGGCAGGTAGGATAAGGGGTGCTGGCCACACTTCTGCCCCAGACTCCCTGAGTCTAATCTCTTTTTCCTGTCTCTTCTCCGTGTAGTTGTTTTATTTGCCATTTTTGGCATCTTAAGACTTGTTAATACCTTTGTGGGGCGTGCCATCATTGGCCATGCCGCACCCTCAGCCCCCTCTCATTTGCCAAGTCCTCACCCCATCACCCCCCAGATTTTCCTGTGCTGATGCCAGTGAACAACTGTAAAGGTTACATGAACACGCTGTAGTCTCAGGGGAATGTGGCCACACTGTTGGGGCACACAACAGTACCCTTGCTGCAGAGGCCTCCGGTGGCATCGCATGCTGAAGCATTCCCTTGTTCTGAGAGCACCATCGAATTCAGAGAAAGGCACTTTCCCGTCTAAACCACGGAGAAAAAGGATGCGTCCCTTCCCGCAGTTCGCTCTCCGTAGGGATTGGGCACAAGCAGTCAGTCAGCCGTGAGCTCCACCGCGTGGAGGGACCCGGCCGGAAAATAAAAGCAGCTTAGACAGAATCGGGGCCCAGAAAGAGAGAGGGAAGCAGGCCTGGGTGTGAAGGCGTTTCTTGAGCCTGTGGGGTGCAGCTGTGCCCATCCCTGACTCACCCCCTCAGCGCACTCACCCTTTCCTGTTTTCTTCAGCTAGATAGAAATGAGTTTCTAAATCTTGCAAGCCAAACAGTTCTCACTAATGTAAGTTCCTTTTTTTTCCCCATTGCACCTGCTTTTTCCATTAGAAGTATGCCTAGAACAACCAACTATTTAAAGGAGCACTAGTGAATTTTTCCAAAAATATATGAATTATATGTGTAGTATATCTCTTATATGTGCATGTAGCTAGCAACTTTTCTTTGATAACATCTGAAAGCAATTCAAAATAGACATGCTAAAGAAGAGTAATTTATTTGTGATCGGATACATCTGAGAATATAATTAGAGGTCATCCTAACATGGCACAGAATCTAAATACCAGGTTATTTCTATTAAAGAGCAACATTTAAAAAATATAACACTGATTTATAAGCCTCATTTTAATTTAACATAGGAAAGGGTCCAAATATAATATAACACATTGAGCTGGAGAATAGAGATGGTTAAGATTTTCTGAGTGTTTCTGTTTCCGCAGTTGCTATTCCATATAAGTGTAAGATAATCTTTCATGATTTTTGTATTTTTTAGAAGAGGGGTTCAGAACTTTGGTAGCAACGTGGTGGAGGTGGGATCCCAATGTATTACAGAGTCTTAAATATTTCCAAAGGTCCAGTGGAAGAAAATCTGTATTCTCTGCCCTGTGTAATTTGTTGCAGTACAGCTTTTACCTCAACCTGGCCACATGCATGGTTCACATTTTGTACAGGTGGAGAGAAATAGTTCTTGTGATCCTGCAAATAACTTCTTACAGTAGAGGTTATTACTGGGGAAATAAATACTGGTGTCAGATAAGTGATATTATCAACTGATAAACAGTGTCCCCTTTGGTACCTTAGGGCTCATTAAACTTAGCCAAAATTCTCTAATTTGGAGTACAGGACCTAATCAATAATGCTGTTATTAAAAGAAACATGCTAATTGCTAATGCATCCAATTACCTAATTATCTCATTTCAAAGAGACAAAATAAAATTCTGGTCTATCTTGCTTTTGCAAAATGCTTTGCTTTCCTGAGCATCTGCTCTTCTTTATTAGACTCTCATTATTAATAATTACCACACTTACTGACTGCCCATTACATGCTGACCCTTCATTGCACATTGCCTCGTATTAACTTTTACAACAGTAATGAAAGGAAGGGATATATAATAGATGAGAATTTAGAATTAAAATAATTTTCCCACACCCACACAGAGGCGGACATTATCAGTCCAAGTCCCCCTAATTCTAAGGCCTGTACAAAACCTATCTTTCCTACACTGTTTCAAAAATGAATGAATGACACAAAAGCTCTTAGGACGTGTTGATTGTTGTGCTCCTCAGTCACTGTGAGTTTCAGAGCCTCCCAATAGTTCTTCCAGTTCTTTCTCTGGTCCGAATTTGTAATTTGTATTCATAGTTAGATATTTATAATTTTAGTTGAATAATTCAAAAGTCCTTAATAAATGTGACATATTAATTTGTTTATTTATAGCATTTAAAGGACTTGTTCACATCTGGAAAAGCACACGCCTCACAATTAATTAAAGCCACCCTTTCTCCATGTCATTTCCCTGACAGCAGTAACTTTTGGATCACTGCTTTTCCTGGAAGCAGTGTCATAAAGTAGATTATGATAAAAAGAACGTAATTCCCATTATGAGCAATGTTATAAAAAGGGGTCATGTCATTGACCAAAGTACCAAGGTCCTCACTCCAAATAAATCATATCATCTAATCTTATCTAATCTCTTATCTTCATGCCTTTGGTCTCTCTTTAAACAAACTTAATTTAGCGTCTAATATATGACAAGGACTGGGCTAGGAAGTAGAAAATTTTAAAAACAGCTTAAGAGAAACTCTCTGCCCTTAGTTGACTGTTGTTTCTTGTTGGAGCACCCTTGCCCATCTTTCTATTCTGTTAAGTCCTGTGTGTTCTTCAAGGCCTAAATCAGGGTGTCCTTTCGGATTACATTCAGCTACCTTCTGTCCATGTTCACCATATGCTCCTCTGTGTTACCTTGCAGGAGGCACTGAGATAGCATTTGAGACCTTTAATTCGGTTGAGGTGTTCCACTCTCCCTGTTCAGGATTTATTTGGGGCAGGGAGTGTGTCGTACTTTTCGGTTCTCGCCGGCACCTGGAAGGTAGCTCAAGCATAGTAAATGTTTGTGAGTTGGGAATTGTATGGTCTCTGTGTTTCAGGTATCTTACTGTCTTCAGTAAAGAGAAAATTGCTAGTCCAAAGAATCGAGAAGTGTAGGCATAGGGCTTACCGCAGGTATGGCTGGATCAGGCACTCAGTGGGTGTTACAGGGCAACCACTGTACCATTTCCTGTCAACTTTTCTCTCTTTTTAAAAACTTTGTCCCACGGGAAAATATCCCCAGGAGGCTTTTCTTGTGGTATTAGTGGAAAATTTCTTTGCCTGTCCACTTCTCAAACTTGGAAAAGCACTGCTGCTGCGTTTGTTTTTATGACATGTATGACCCTGGAAGAGTCCATGTGAACAGTGAATCGTGCTACATGGGTGTGAGACCACGACAGGGTGAGCATGTGCCCCACAGGCAGTGGGCACCCAGGAAAGGAAGCATCAGCAGGTCGCGATGGAGCTGGTTGGGCAAGGCTCCCTAGGAAGAGGTCTGGCCGTCGCGGTCAGTAATCACTACAGAATTCCATAAATAAACGTTGAATTAAACCCAAGCAAAAATTCAGCTATCATCCCTATGTAAAACATTTTATTTAGTCTTTTAGCTAGATAAAACTGCATAATACAACCCCCCCCAGAAATAAGAACAGGACTGTGATGTTTGCTGCACTAAAAACTTGGTTGCTATGTTATATTATTCGGCATAAATGTTGTTCAGTGGTGAATTAGTTTTGTTCAGCTTTCTCGTATCCCGGGATATTTGGAATGTTACAGATGGTGCAACGCTCTTGCTCCCCAGAGTAAGTGATGTGAATGTTGCCCTGTGATGCATTTCCCTGCAGGACTCACAGTCGCAGCAAGGATCTTACCTTATACCTAGGATCAGAGAAATACATGCTAGTAAATGTCTGTTTATGCCAGCACTGACCATAATGGCAGTGGCCTTTCACCAAAACATTTTGCAAAGTAAGAAGGGATGCCAAATGTCTTTCTAGCACCTCTCACTTTAAAGCATTTTGGAAGAAAGTATAGACACTACTTAATAAGTGCCCATTAACGTATCTCACAGTTTAATTTGAAACCATACATACATATACCATTAATACACACCTTCAAAAGCGTTCTTTACAAGATCCTCACTGACTTTCTCAGACAGAAATGATGTAATATCTCAAGCTAATCAGATACATTTGGAATTGGTAATTTCCTAATTGGAATTTGGGTCAGAAGCTTGCCTTCTTAGGAAATAAGTGGCAGAGTAGGGACTATAAGACTGTCATAGTACTATGGGCAATATTTGTTGAATTGTATGTACTCATCCACTTTTTCCTAGGACAAAAAATTCCCAAGTTCTGGTGAACTACTCTAGATCCCTAGGCAGATATATTAAAAAATAATGAAGACATACACATCATTCTCTGTGAATAAAAGAAATGTCAAGATTGACGTCATTCCAACAGCATCTGTAGCCTGGGGAAGCCTCTCTTCAGGTCACCTGCATCATAGGAATTTTGTTATTTCCAAATTGCTGCACTGAAGCCACTTAGCCCTGTTGATGTTCTCATTGTAAGCACCAAGCCTTCTTTCCAGTATTTTATTCTCTCTCCTTACCTGTGGGAGATTATCCCACTCTTGGCATGCTTTTGATATGCAGTATTAACAAAGGAAACTTTTCATAATATAGTCCATTATGTAGTACGGTCCTTTCATAATAGAACCGTCTAGTCGCTGTATATTCTCATGTCAAAAAGCGACTATAAAAGAACACACCCTAGGGTGTACCATAAGTTTAAGGGTCTCCAACAGGCTGTTTGTCATTCTGAAGTTTAATTTTCCTGTATCTTCCTATACATACAACTCCAAATTTTCTTTTTCTTTTTTGTTCCCATATACTCCAAATTTTAGAAAATTAGCCTGAACACCAAAAGATGGCCATGTTTTGTGGTTTTATCTTAGGGAAAAAATTCAGATTCTGCAGGGCATCAACGTTTTTATAAGATAACATGCCAAACAAAACTTAGCTTAATTTCACCATTTTATGAACATAGACAAATGTTAAAGTTCATTCTCCTCCTGTTGAAAAAAGTAACATTTTTGCTTAGTTGTTAGAAATACTTTCCTAACCAGATAGACAAGCTCACTGGTTCAATGACCCCACTTATGCCCAATGTTACCATCCTCCCAGGTTCTGTCATTAGATGTTCGTATATAATGGTGGAAGTCTCGGGTGATTTCAGTCATGATTCATCTTTCGTTTAATTCATGCCTATTTTGTTTTTCTGTGCTAGAATGGCAAATCACTGTGATACCTTTTCAGCACAGAAACTCTATGCACTTCATGTTAGAGGAAAGAAATGATGTCAAATTTGCATTTGTTTTTGTTTATCTAACATACATTTGTATGGTGTTTACTCTGTACCTCTTGTGACCACCCCGCCAATAGCAATCCGTTCAACATTCCCGAGAATCGCTCTGTGTGAGGTCGGTACCTCGGGCAGCCCGGAGCAAGGGGCCCGTCAGGTAGCTCTGCTCAGAAAATACTGTTCTGTATACCCAGACTTAGCGTGGAGGAAAAGGGGAGAAAAGAAATTTCCTGCTATGCTTAAAATGAGACTGTTTGTTGGGTTCTACTTATAAAATGAGAAAGTATAATAATGAACTCTTTTTTTTTTTTTAATGTCTATTCTTGGGAGTCTTTGCCTGAATTAGTTGGGATTCCTTTTGTTGCTGAGAGAAAAAAGTGAAAATCACTGTTTGTGAACAAAGAGAATTACCATTAGAATGTAGAACCCAAGGAAGAACGCAGGCCTGGAGGACTGGCATTAAGTGGAACGCCTTCAGAAACCAGGCTTCCCCTTTGATTTCTGGGGTCTTGGAGATTCGCTCTAGCATCTCTGATGTCCCTTCCTCTCAGGAGATGTGCTCTCTCCTTCCCAAGGCACTCATAACCTAACGTGGGGTCCCTGAGTCCCGAAGTTTACCCAGCCTCAGTTCAACCAGATAGCACAGAGAATAGCATCTCTTTTCCCGGAGGCCGTATTTCTGGTAGAGAGAATATGTTATCGGTCAGATGTATATCAGGATCCATCCTCGGTCCAGCCAAGGGTGAAGGATGAGGGGTGGGCCAAGGCCTGGAAGCTCTTGGGCTGGACAAATACTCCTAGAGTTTCCTGCTGTATTCGGTGCTTGATTACATGTCCTGTGCGTAAAGAATAGTACAATCAAGACTAGCCAGGCAACAGTTTTGAGCCCATACTCTTTGCTGGTCATGTTACATTCCTCGCCTCAGCCTGCACAGCCAGTTCTCTGCAGTGGGTGGAGAGAGTGGCCTCACACATGCTAAGACACTTCTCCTGGGTGGCATACGTATTGAGGGAGAGAAACCCGGGTTCTTCGGAGCTCGGAGCCGACCCCCCAACCGTTCCCTGGCAGAATGAACAGAGGCTGGCTTTCTGTAGACTCCGTGGGAGACCGGAGTCACTGTGTTATCGTTCCCATTTCCCCACTGGCTGCTCTCAAAGGGTTGAGAAAACTGTGATCCTTGATTTTGCTCAAGGAGCCCAATTAAAACGACAGCAGCAGTTCAGTACAGCAGATTCTCAGGAATGTTTGCCCTTCGTTAATGAGTGACTTTCACAAGAGTGGTGGGCTGGCCTCCAAGATGACGCGCATAATCCCGTAAGAACTGATGCCAGATGGGTCTGACCCGCATGGGAAAGTGGGTGTCCTGGCATCCGCAGGACGTTTACGGTTTCCTATAACTGTTTCCAGTCTGACCCCCGCTGGCCGATGGGAACGGCACATTGCACATCACGGAAGGCGGTAAATGCCAGCAAAAGGCCGTAATTCCCAGGGTCGAGAGAGAACCACGGAGGGCTCAGTGTAACGTGGCCCCATCCAGGTAGCAACGAGCTGGCTCTCCACTACGTGCATTTTGGCTTTCCCCAAATCACCTCCAGAGACAGGTCAGAAAAGTTTTCAGATCACATTTTTGTCATCTACTTTAGTCTACACATGCTGCATGGAAAGGGGTGCTCTGAGTTGCTTGCTTGAGTCATGACTGAAATCTCGATATAAAACTAAATAGATAAACATCTAAAAGAGAATGACTTGGATTAATGAAGGTCATTTTTGTCTCATCGTTTGCCTCCACCTTTACTCTGTACAGTACTTACTGATTTCAAAGATAGATGAATATGATACTGATTTCAAAGGTAGAAAAGTCTGTCCTGGGTAAAAATGTCAAATGGTCGTAGAGTCATTTGTTTAGATCGTTTCTAAATGTTTATTTAAAATGTTCATTGAGGTACCAAATAGCTATTAATTAATATATTAAGTCTATTTTTTGAGTGAAGAAAACTATATTTTAAAAAGCATAAAAATAAAAATATAGTCCACTGTATTAACTAATGTACTTATTAAAAAACTCTCATAATGACAGCTACTGCTAATTCAACCTCTAGGACAAGAAAACAAGCTTTAAAACCATTTTTCTGTGTGAATACACTCACATTTAAGGGGAAATAGTTTGCAAAACAAATTTAAGTTCTTTCTATTCTTGTTAGAATTTAGTTTTTGAACAAATAAAATATCTTTCTTATTTCCAAAGAAGCACATATTCATCCTAGAAAATTCAGAGGTTACAAATACAAACTTAGAGAAACAAAGTAATTGACTACCCATGTAAAATTAATATTCATGAAACATATATGTATATCACACGTAGAGGTGAAAGTAACATGTAATTTGCCTTCTAGAGATTTGTGTCAAATTTAACACAAAGCATTATCTAAAAAGCCATCAATAAGAAATAACCTAACCAAATAAGTGCCAATTACTTGATTATAGTCAATGACCTAATACTGTTAAGTATATGTAAAACTCCTTTTTGCAAATCTTGCTTCCAGACATCTTATCCAGTGGCCGAGACTCATAAATATTTCGGCACGTAACAGTGCCCACCTGTGAAAAGAGGGCAAAGATTATATTAGATATTGATGTTTAATTATTTACTAGTCTTTTCCACCACCTAAACGACATTTTCCTACCAGTTTTAACAACCAAGCTGTTGGAATTTGTATCTCAATAAACTGATAAATTATGACATGCAGTGGCCTTCTGTGCTCAAATTATTAAATGCACTAAGCACAAGGATGTCTATGAAGTAATACGATCGATTTTTTTAACACATGTATCAGCATTCAGGCTTCCAAGCATTGCATTCAACACAGTCACGTTAAGAGCTTATGAGCTGTCTCCATAACCTATGAATATATTTCTATGAATATACTTGTTTCCATGAAATATTCATTCAGCGGTATCAGTGGGAGTTCTGTGTGTGGGCATTGTCTTGGGCCCTGTGGGTATAATGAACGAGACAGGTAGGGTGCAGTCTAATGAAGGAGAAAGATGACACCCAGCCGTAGCAAGACAGGAGTTTCCACCTCCAGTGGAAGGAGGCATAGGGTGGTAGGAGATCCTGCCCAACCCAGTCCCTGGGTTCAGATCACAGTGAAAACAACACGACTTCTACTGAATGCCAGCCAGTGGCATTCCAGCGTGGAATGGCATGGGGGAAGAGTTTAGAAAGCACATGAATCGGGACTGTTTTACAGAGAAAAGAGAGAGCTCTTATGGAGTTGCCTTCAAAGGTATGTTGCTCAATATCCCGTAGAGAGGCAAATAATCAACATTTGCTGTAAACTGAATTCTTTCTCTTGGCTACAGGGAAGACTGAATACCTGCTCATTCAATAGAGTGTTAGAGGTATAAGTAAGTGTACTTAACTGTTTCAGAGGCCCAGGATTTAGCAGAGGGAATGGCGTGCAGTACGCACGCACTGAATGCTTTCCCATAAATGACTGCAAGAGGTCTGACAAAATGATTGATGCAAAGCTGGAAAATTCTGTTTCAGGGCTGAAACCGCCTAAGTCTGAGGGCTAAGACTCATTTTCTGCGTAGCTTGCTAATTCAGTATCTCCCTTCCAGGGGCGTGTCAGCAATATGAGACTCCTTTGAACGAGACAGGCCAGGCTGCTGGGGCCCAGTGAAACGTGCCTTGCGTATTCAGGGTGAGTGCTTGACAAGAGCCTTACGTGTTTGGATTTTAAACTTAAGATGCATTTGTTTAAGTCAAATCCATTCTATTTAAAATTACTCAATTTGCATGTTCATTGATACATTTACAAATACACTCAGACACTGATAGTTTAATGGGTATGGCTTAAGGTAAGTCAGCATTTGTTTTTCCTGATTCATGAACACTGTCTGGGTCAAATCCAGGCTCTACAACTTACAGCTGTGTGCCCTTGGGAAGGTTACTTAACCTCTCTGTTCCTTCATTCCATAAGTTATACAGTATAGATAATGACTGCTTCTCAGTTATAGAATGTGTAGGAGGCTAAATGAGTCTGTACATGTAAGGAGCATAGAATCCCATTTGTGACACAGTAAGAACTATTTATTATATGACTGTCTTCCTAAACCAGAGCAATGTTAATGTTAAAAAACATTTAATTGACAAGGACAAAATAATCTATGAAGTTTTGTAAATATGTACAAGAAGATAATGATAACATTTAGAATTTAAAATGTTTCTGGAGCCAAATGAGTCAATATATTTAAAAAAATATGGAATACTGCTTGTCACATAGTAACTCTTACTGTTTTCTTTAACCATAATAATGTTGATATTAAAAGTTTTTAATTACTTAATCAGATAGTATTTTTAAATAGTTTACTATTTAGCCTGAAGCATTTGATTGTTTTTAATGTTTTAAACGTTGAAACTGTAGTGCTGAAATAAGGATGAAATTAAACAGTTAAAACTGGAAACACAGTCATTTAGAATACCTTTTCTCTATTTAAATAAAAATATCCTCACGAAATTTAATTCCTTGGAACTGAATATATTTTAAAATTTGAAGTCATTTTTCTTGCATTGTATGGATCTGGCATTATTAAAATATTCATATCTTTGAGCTAATGTGGCATAACAAATTTAATTCGTAACACAAAAATGACATGGATAGAACTTGAGCCATCATCACTTTTTTCCTTAAGCTTCATGTTGTAGGCACCCCATTAGGAAGACAGACAAGTCAGTCATATTTTATAGCCCCACAGAACTTTCCAAATAAATAAACTCTTTGAGACAATCATAAATAATAGCATTTTGGAGGCAAACATTTCCTCAGAATTTACTTTCCGTTGCTTCTCAGTCATGTATGGCACGACCCCACTGCCTTGATGGGACTGTCTGACCCCACGTGGGATGCCCTTGGCTGTTATCTTCTGCTTTGAAGGGCAGCCTTCACTCCACAGCGTCATTCCTGTGAGAGGCTGGGAGGGGAGGAGGGCGGGGTGGTGGGAGGTGCATCGCACCTCCCAGGAGGGGTCAGCCGTCCCCAGGAGCGTCGATACAAAGATTGCCTGTACAATAGCAACTCCTTGGGCAGAAACGGCCAGACCCTCGTGCCAGGGACCATCCTCCAGCCCTGGCCAGCCGTGTCCCCAGGAAGAGGTGGCCTCGATTTAAACACAGCAGCCAGTCCCGGGTGCTGCGGCTGCAGGTGTCGACTACCTGCACTGCTTGCAGCTGATAAATAAATCGCTCTCTAGGAGGCACATGCCAGCAGTGCATCGCCGAGGCTGCTGGTCACTCAGGCTTCTGAGTCCAGCTTTGCAGCTGCCTAGACACTGAAAGTTTGGTCTCTGGGCCAATGATTACTGCCGTTCAGTACGGGTACATCTCTGGGGTGTCTGACTTCACACAGTGTCCTGTGTGGAGATTGTGCATGTTTCATTTTGGCTTTTCGGGGAGAGTGGGAAGAGATTTGGGGACAGTGTGTGGGAAGAGATTACCTCAAAGGGTTTTACTGTAATGAAGCTTGTCTGTTTGAAGGGCTGTTCACTCTGCCTGTAGCATTAGCATCAGTTTTAGCAGTTGTAGTAATTATAGTAAAAGAAGGGAGTAGAGGAGGAAGAATGGCAGTACTACTGATCAGAACAGTAAATGTTAATATTTACTATCACTATGCCCAATAATAGTGAATGTTAATATTTATTGGGCTTAGTGCTGAGCTCTGCCATGTAAAATCTCAGGCAGCACTCATAACATTATACGGCATGTATCACTACTACTCTAATTTTAGTGATAATATACAGAGACGTAAACTAATTTGTTCCAGCTTATCAAGCTAATAAATGATCGAAGTGGGATTCAGAGCTGTGTAGTAGGCATCCTATCTCAGTTTAGAATCCAAGCTCAATTATTCTGTATGTTCATTGTATAATACAACTTGTAACTATGTATTTAATTTTGTAAACCTCAATTTCCCCACGTATAGAAAGTAAATAATACTAATAACCAACCTGAATTTCTCATGGGCTTAATGTAAAGGGAGGAAAAAGATAATGCTGATTGTTCTGTAAACTATAAACGCTTCACAAATAAATGCCGGTTATGATGTCACTGGCATTAAATACTTTGTGTTGTAGAAATGAGTACTGTGCAGTTATAAAACTTTGACAATACCAAGTGCTGCAAATTCATGGTCAGAAATTATGACCCCAGAATTTGAGAGCTGAGAAAGGCTTTGGAGATAGTCCATTTCGGTACCTCTCGACCCAGCTGCACCTTTATATCACTTGGGGAAGCTTTAAAAAAAAAAAAATGTCCAAGATTCACTCCATTTCCAGAAATCTGGAAGAGGGCCCAGGCATCTGAGTTCATGGATGTGTGCATACGTATGAATTTGTACGTGTAAATGTGTATATGTGTATGTAGGAATATGTGTACGATACCAACTTTTGAGTGTGTTTGTTCTCCCAAGATGACCTCGTATATAGTCAGGGGGCAAAAATAACTGAGTTTAACCAGAAAGTTTCTTTCTGGTAACTGGGGACACTGTATATTTACGTAAGCCAGCTCCCCCTGACACCTGTTGCCTTATATCCCATCTGATGAGCCTTCCCCCTTTCACTCTCCAGGGTTGCAATTTGGGTGACAGGGAACCAGGCTTCGGGAAGCAGTTTTCCTTCTGAAAGGAATTGCTTGTATTGTCTGCCCCCCTGAGCTCTCTGAGACCCCTTTGGGGGCCTGTGGAACAGTCTCTGAGTAAGTGGGATGCTTTTTCAGATTCTGAAGCTGAGAGAACTTCTTAGTTTTTCTGTGATAATGTTTTGGAAATGGAAATGTGCTATGTTTCCACGTAACCCAACTAAGTTTTGCTGTATGGAGGTCTTTCATCCCACCTGATCCGTTTACATGGAGAATATCTGATCGTTGTTTATGATGCTGAGAGCGGCTGCTTGTGAATGCCAGCAGTTGTTACTGAGGAAATTAAATTTAGAAAACGAATCAACAGCTTTATCAACCATTTTGGTGTTGGTTTTCGGGACATCGTGCTTGGTAATCGGGAGCCTGTGGGACATGACAGGCCTAATGGCAGCGTTTGTGAAAGGTCTGATGTTGATCCAGACATTCGACCTGTAGTTTCTCTGACAGGCAATGATACAGTCCTTCTCGGTTGAGATTTTCTCAGCCAATGTCAAATTCGATTTTGGTATCAAGGTCATCATTAACCTAGAATATGCATACCCCAGAATAACTAAGATACTTTTTAGCCTATAGTCTGGTTTTTTAAGTCTATCTGTATTCAGTACACATATAAACCCATGGACGTGGGCATATTGCTATGGTAATAAGGATTTCTTGTCCTCACTGGGCATATTGTTCTGGGATGATCTGACGAGAACTGCAGACCTAGGAAAAGGGAATGTTCCAGTTGAAACCTGGGACAGTGAAACCGAGGACAGTACAAGTCCCTGTGAGCCAGCATTAGTGACTTTGCCTCCTTGTGGGACCCAGGGGTTCGATGATGCCTGGTGCAATGCCCCGTAGGAGGTTTTGTTCATATACGTTCACGGGGAAAACTCAAGAGACTGATTTTGATGTTTCAGAGATTCCTTCATTCATGAGTCTCAGAAAGACCCTTTGCAAAATATACCGACACTTCTTGACTTCAGAATTCCAATGGCCACACTCTTCATGTTAGAAATGTGTTCTATGGTTGTATAAAGCGGCTCCTCAACAAACAGCTCTATTTTTCAAAAAAGAAAAGTATTACTCTTATTATTAGGATTTGGAGACCAAGAAATATATACTCCTATTAAGTACCTAATTTAAAAAAAGAAAGATCAACTCTTAGACAACCATAAAATAATATGATATTTCCTTACACATTATCTGAGGAAAGGGAACAATTAAAAGAGATATTTATTTAATCCAGGTGTTTTTCCGGATTCTCGGGGTCCCTGCTCTGTGTTCTTACCAGGCCATGCATATTCCTTTGTCATGATACACAGCACAGTGTACTGTAATTATTTGCAAGTCTTTCTCGAGTACTAGACTGAGAGCAGAAACCACTTCATACTTATATTTGCATCCCCAGCACTTAGCAAAGAAATGAACATATTTTGGATATATGAAAACCTTGAGGGAATTGATAACTGACCACAGAATGAAGTGGAACTTGAGTGTCTCATCAAGACTTGTGCTATTGAAGATGACACGTCTTCAGGGAGGTGGGGTATCCAGGCAGAAACGAAAGCATAAAATGAAAATGAGATATTTTCCTATGAATAAGGCATCTAAACTCAAGTACTCGGAGGGAATCACTCCTTGCTCTATCTGCTTGGAACAGTCAGTGGACTAGGGCAAGCATATCACAATTTGGTTTTGCTTGGGTTGATCAGCATGTTTTCATGGCTCCACTGAGGATGCTGGGACCATCCTGCTCATCCAAGCTCACTCTGAATTAATCCCATCAGTGTGGCATGCCTTCAACATGGAAATGGCCAGAGCATCGTTGATGCACTTTCTGGAATAAGGTGATGATGAGATCGACCGAGGATGACCTGATGCAATGTTAAGACATCCTAGAAAATGGTGGTTCTCTATCTAGCTGAAGATAAATACATGCTTAAAAAAAAAAAATTGCTGACACACTGTCACCTGCTTAGAATGTCTCATGTGTGACAGCCCCTTTCCAAAGAGGCAGCTCTGTTG